TTGAAATGCGAGGAAGGGACATTCCCCAAGCCCCTTTCTTGGCACTGCCCCCAGTCAGGCTGTATTCAGGTGAGAAGAGGGCTTGAAGGGAAGCAGCTTGGTGCATAACTGGGAGAGCCAACTGCCTCAGTTGGAGCCTGGGGGTGAAGATTCATAGTACCCTGGACCCACTGAGAGACTTGCTCATTTTCTGGGCACCAAATAATCCTTCCAATTTTTATGTAAACCCAGGAAGGAGGAGAGGAAACAAATAATGAAGACTGAATTTCTTGCAATTCAGTGACATAGGGGATGGCAGTCGTATTGAATTTGATTTGAAGAAAATAGATATTTCCTGCTTACCCAACTTTTAGTAAATGCCACACCAGCTACATGAATTTCTGGATTAAAACATACAAACTACATATATTAATATTTGTTGCCTTAATCCAAGTTCTACCCTTGCCATGACTCTGTTCACTTTGCAGGGAGGGGCAGAGCTTATAAACTGAGCTGTGCAAATCTCACCCTGCTCAACCATGTCTTGCTGAGCAGACACATGGGGGCTGAAACCTAAGCAGGCTGTGAGAAAAGGGTGACGTCCGCTAATTTTCTAATGTGCGCACATAACTCCTGCATAATCTGACACCATATGAATATATTACACTTAAGGCATTTTCTCATTGACTTTTATGTGGTTTCTACTTTTCAGTGCTATAACAAATATCCTAATACATTTCTCCTGCACTTCTGGATTTTTTTGAATTAGATACCTGAAATTTTGACTTGATTTTTTTTTTTCTTACAGAAATTCTGTCAATGGGACATGCATGTGAGTTTAGAAGCAATTCTTTCTTTAATATACAAAGGCTTCTGGGACTGCTCAGGCCATCAACCAAATGTGTTCATTAGCCCATACAAGATGCTTTCCTCAATTTCTAGATGAGATATACTGTTATGAGAAAATGGAAGAAAAATTACAGGAGAACAAGTGGGGAATTGCTAAGATATGTATATTTGTAGTGAGGAGAGGAGTTGGGGGCTTGGGGGCAGGGGTGAAATGCCTAGCGACTTAAATGACATAAGGCACTGATTTCCTGCGTGTTGAGTAAAGAGGTGTTGGAAGATAGAAAATTGCCAAGGATTAGTTTGTAACTCAAAATTATAGCTCAGTTCAATCCCATTTCCCACTACGAAAGAGAGGGAAACATCTTTTTTCTCCCTCTTCCTTCCCGTCTCCCACAGGGGCAGCTGTCTCCTCCCTGTTCCAGGACCCAGGGCTCAGGCTGACTTGTGTTAAGCTTCCATCTGGATTAAACAGATTTCGGGAAGATCACGTGGAAACTTAAATGCCATTGCAGCATTGTTTCTATAGGAAATGGGTTTCTCTTTGCAAACAATTATTTGCTTTCGGTACACAACCACTTATCATAAGGAGGGAGCCTGTCTGTGCTTATAAAGCTTAAATTTGAAGGACTCCGGTTATCTTAACTTAAAATTAAAGCACAATTAAAATAGCCTAGTTTGAGAAGAAACCATGTTGTTTAATTTCTAAGAGATGTTCCAATATGTATTTACTGCAATTTCTATGTTGGGTGGTTTGTTGTCCTTTTAAAAGTGAGTCTGGGACACTATAATATGGCCTGTCTTCTTTTTGCCTGTTAAACAAGGCGAGCTAGGGCAGCTTCTCAAAAGGCTCAAGAGGCACAGTCAGTGATCTCAGGCCACCCTGGATGGCAGGAGGCCACAGGAGGGGGCTTGCACCACCAGCTGCAGGGAATTGTTAAATTCCTGACCTAGTTTTTGAAAATACTCAAGGAGAAAGCAGGGACACAAATACTAGCTCTAGCCTTGTTCAATGAGACCACGTTCCTGTTTTCATTTCGCTTTAGCCGCATTTGTTCGAGCAGCAGGTGAAGCGCCTTTCAAAAGACTGTCATCTCCAAGGGAAGTCATCTGTTTTACATTAATTGTCCATTAGTCTCCAAGCCTCCATCCATTAAAGTCCTCAGCCACTCATTACGTATATTGTGCAGGAGTCCTGCTGTCAGCTTTTCAATGCAGAGCTGTTTTTCTGCATCTGACTTAATTGCTCTAAGTGCCTGCTCCTTTGAGAGAGCCTAGAGCATACCAATTAATGCTAACTTTTTTTCCTTGCTAGGTTGAACAGACAAGCCATGGTGAGGCCAGTTCAGCTGCTATTTACTCTAATTTATTAGAGACCTTTCTGCCTTAAGCTCACACAGTGGGTAGTTTACATCAGTACTGCCCCGTTTGCCTGATGAATCCTGGATATGTTTTGAATGGACTTAATTTTCTATAGTGAAAATGCTCCATAAATTTACAATCTATCCATGTTATTTTGATGAGGGGTTTAAATTCCATTTGCTCCTGATTAGTTTAAACATGTAATTTTTAAATGCATGTGGCATTCTAAACAACAGCTTGGATGAAATTTACTTTGTTGATGGAAAAATTAAGCTTTCATCCTTTCGAATGACAGCTCGAGGGGTGGCCTTACAATAATTTAATTACTGTAGCTTCCTTATTATAGGCGACTCACCTACCTTTAGCTCCATTACTGTTTTCTTTAATAAACACAAATAAATGGAGGAAAAACAAAAAATAAGATAACCAATCTTAGAGTAGCTTTTATAAATTTTTGATAGGCGTAGAGGCAAATACAAATATGTGAGACTCAGAGAAACATATTAACCCCTTCAATTCTAAAAAACTAGAAAAATCACAATCTTGTTTTTCTCCTTTTTAAAATTGTACCGTAGTTCCACTTATTAATACTAAGTTCTATATTTTATTAATATTCAAAATATCCAATCAATATAAATTCCTGTCAAGATATGGTAATATATTTATAAATTCAGATTCTGAGTAATGACTTGATAATAATTGAATTTATTACAAGTTTTTAAATCTTTACTACGGTATAATTCCATCCTATAACTAAGTTTGTTAGCAAATGGCCCTGTTAATATATAGTTAAGTACCTGTATATTGATTTGCTTAATTACATCTAAACAATACCAAAAAATAAAAACCACACAGATGCATCCAGACTGATTTAAATTGCAGGATATCATGAAAATTAAAGACAGACTTCTGTGTCTTATTTCCTGAGGATTGTTGGGAAAATATGCACTTTTGGCATAAGCAAACTACTTAGAACAAAAATAGCAACCATTCTGGGAAACATTTACATTAGGTGAAATCTGTCTCTGAGGCTCTCTGCCTTCCACCCAAGAGCTCCCTGCCCTGGCAGCCTCCCCTCTCCTCTCTATTCTCTCCCCTTCCTCAGCTGGACGCTAGTCCTGTATCTCATATCACATGGCCCTGGCCAGTAACAAGGCATTATTAGCAAAGACAGCTATTTAGAGGTAGTGTTTTGAACTCTCTGAGGATTATCATTTTCCTCATCTTCACTATCTTCATCCTCATCTTCAGTCAACATTTTTGAGAGCAGACTGTGTACAGAGCACAAAGAGTCACTGAAGTTGTTCCCCTCTCCCCAAAATAGTAACTTTTGTCTTCTAGATGAGTGAGCTCCTCTAATAAATTCTACAAGTATTGTTTCTGCATCATGGGCATAGAGAGTGGCCTCCTCCATCTTTACAGAAGGAAATTATCACCCCCAAGTTAGACTAGTTTATTCCTAGAAATTTCCTTCAATACCCCCTCATCTGTAGGATATTCATTTAAAAATCCTATCAGCTTTTTTTTTCAACAGTTTTCAGGAAGAGAGCTTGGGAAAATACTAAAATATCAGTCTAACAAATTCAAAGACATTATTAGGGGCTTTAAAACCTCATACACATCCCTTTGGCCTCCAGGATAATGCTCCTTAATCCTAATTAGCTTTTACAACAGGATTGGTGTTTGCCAATGACGATTATAGGTGCCAAATTCACCAAGCCAATAAGTAGCAGAATTGTAGGATCCTGGTATGACTTTATTTTGATTCTGACTCACCTTTTACATCATGTTTGTCGTTGCTTTATTTGTCCAAGGTAGCAATGCTTCCATATTTCTGCATTCTGATTTTGACTGTAGTGTTTTGATTGAGAGTCTGGAATGTTGTTCACACAAGGGGAATCTTGCCCCAAAGAATATTACTTCTAAGGTCTTCACTCAGGAGTTTGGTCATGTACTTGTGCTAATGCCTTTGTATTAAAACCCTTCTGATTATGGTTGAATCTGTTCCCCACCTCTGACAGATACACGACAGGGTGACCCCTAATGAGTCATGCTCTTAATCCCCTTGCCATGAATGTGGGTGGAAACCATAATTTGCTTTTAACCATAAGATAGGACAAAAGTAAGGAAATACCGCTCCTGTAATTATGTTTACGGCAAAGTCGGAGGGACTTTTTTCAGGTATAATTAAGATCCCGAATCAAGTGACTTTTAGTCAAACAAAAGAGCATTTACCCTCAGTGGGCCTGGCCAAATCAGTGAGCCTTTTAAAGAGGGTCCAGGCCTTCCCTGGAGTTTGAGACCTGAAGCAGTAGAGACTCTTATTTCTGTTGCTGGCTTTGAAGCAGCAAGCTGCCATTAATTCTAGAGTCATAAAGACACGAATTCTGCCAACAACCTGCAGGAGCTTAGAAGCAGATCCTAGCATTTCCATTGCATCCTCCAGATGAGAATGCAATCCACCTTGATTTCAGCCTTGTGAGACCCTGAGTCGAGAACCCAGTTATGACATGTCCAGATTCCTGACCCCCAAAAAAGGTGAGATAACAAATGGGTATGGTTTTTAGGCCATCAAATGTGTGATCATTTATTATGCAGCAATAGGAAACTAATGCACCACTCTTGCAATAAAGATACTTTGGTTTATTATCCAGTATCCCATATGTCATTTCTAGATAAGTAGATCATTACCCATGAACTCCACACAAGGGCTTCTTATACTTTGTTGTTAGAAAACTTACCCAAGTCACATCTCAGGCTCTAGAGATGACTTACCATCTAACCCTTTGGTTTCCTATCAACTTTGCTGTTAGATAACCTAGAAGATTTGGTGCCCAGCATGAAGAATAGTTCCTTTCAAGTACCTGTGTGTCTGGAATTTATTCCTTCCAGTGGGTTCTTGGTCTTGCTGACTTCAGGAATGAAGCCGTGGACCCTCGCGGTGAGTGTTACAGTTCTTAAAGATGGTGTGTCCAGAGTTTACTCCTTCAGATGTTCAGATGTGTCCAGAGTTTCTTCCTTCCAGTGGGTTCCTGGCCTCACTGACTTCAGGAGTGAAGCCGCAGACCTTTGCAGTGAGTGTTTCAATACAGTGAGTGTTAAAATACAGCTCTCAAAGGTAGTGCAGACCCAGTGAGCAGCAGCAAGATTTATTGGGAAGAGCAAAAGAACAAAGCCTCCACAGCGTGGAAGGGGAGGGGAGTGGGTTGCCACTGTTCGCTCAGGTGGCCAACTTTTATTCCCTTATTTGGCCCCACCCACATCCTACTGATTGGTCCATTTTACAGAGCACTGATTGGTGCATTTTTCAGGGTGCTGACTGGTCCATTTTACAGAGTGCTGACTGGTGCGTTTACAATCCTTTAGCTAGACACAGAGCGCTGATTGATGCGTTTTTGCAGAGTGCTGATTGGTGCATTTACAATCCTTTAGCTAGACACAGAGTGTGGATTGGTGCGTTTACAATCCTCTAGCTAGACAGAAAAGTTCTCCAAGTCCCCACTGGACCCAGGAAGTTCAGCTGGCTTTACCTCTCACTTGGACACATCTGTCGTTTTGCTACATTTACATCAGTGGTTCTTTAACATTTTGGTCTCAGGGTTTCTTTACATCACAAATAATTGAGGACCCAAAGAAACTGTGTTTATTTGAGTAATGCTTATCATCTACTATATTAGAAATTAAAATGGGGCAATTTTAAATCACGAGAATGCACAGGCACACATTCCGTTAGCAGTCAATAACATCATCACTTAGCATGGGAAAACCCACGGGTTGCCTGTGAAAGAGTGAAAGAAAAACATGAGATAACATCACAGTACTATTACAAATTGACCTTGCAGATCTGAAAGGGTCTTGGAAACCCCTAGAAATCACACTTTGAGACCACATCTTGAAAACCATTACTTTATGTTTTTAGTATTTTTTTGCTTTATGTTGCATTAAATTGTATTATGCCAACTCACATAAGTTTATGAAATATACGAGGTAAACTTTTCTAGAAAAATGAAAAAGGCAAAATACTAGCTATATAATTGTGCTGTTTATTCCCCACCTGCCCCACAGATATGTGCTCACCCTTCTCTGCTCAGCTGTGTGCCTGGGAGGCTGACCTCTACAGACTACATCACCAGGCTTCCGCCCTCTGGCTTCCACATGGATTTGGCCAATGGGCAGCACCAGTGGGAAAGGGGAGGACAGGAGGAGAGACAGGCTGAGGTCACGTATCTATCCCCTTCTTCCCTACCCCATGACAGTTCTGACAGGCAGCCCTTCCATTTCTTCAGCTCTCAGCTGAGCTCCAGTAACAAGCTTCCTTCTCTTTCCCCTTTAGGGTTGGGGTGGCAATAGCTTTTAGCTGCTGTGATCCCCTGGGTGTCTCACTATGTCTTGTTGGCTTCCCTAATCCTGCCTACTTTAATCATTTTTTTTAAATTTCAAACTCTCTTGATACTTCCATTTGTATCCCGAGGAATCCTGGCTAATGGAACAAGCTTGGACACATTCCTTCATTTCACAGGTCCTCAGTTTATTTAGCTGTAAAATGAAGGGCCTGAGCAGCCTTTCCCAAAGTGGATTCTGCACATCAGTCTCACCGTATTCCATTTTGTATTCTGTGGTCAAATATGTTTGAGAAACACTGAATATAATGTCCCCTTTTGGAGAGCCACAGTTTGTGGCACCGTATCAACAACTCTGAGAGGTCCTGAAGTAGATATGCCTGTTTTACCCTGTTTAGGTCAACATTTCCCTAATATAGTTAACAATGGAACCACTGTTTTTTGCTTGTTTGCTTTTGCAGGAAACCCTAATAACATCGAGAAAACACCAGATCAAGTCATCTCCAGGTGGGCCGTGTATGGCATTGTCTTATTCTATGGAAAGCTATTCATTACATATTTTTGAATATTTTCTGGTGGCCCCTCAATACTGAAATCTAAAATTTTCCACCCATGTGACTCAGCTTGCTCTAGGCACAATAATGGAATTCTATTTCTGTGACCTCGGTACAATGTTGAGCTTCTCTTCTGACCATGACTTTGTCGTGGTAAAGAAGTATCCCTCTAATTAAAATCAGGATTGAAAATAGAATTCCAGGAATAGCTGAATACACAATACACATTTACATAGAGCACAATTGCATCCAAGCCCCGTGGAGTATGGTGGTGCAAAGTAAGGTGTGAATCCCACTGAAACTTTCTGAAAGTGTGTGGTTGTCATGAACAACACTGACAAATCTGAGGCCCTCCTTGCTTCCTGTTACAATAATTAACTACCTTTTCTTCTTTTTCTTTTGGAGACAGATTGCAGTGCAATGTCACGATCTCAGCTCACTGTAGCTTTGAACTCCCAGGCTCAAGAGATCCTCTCTCCTCAGCCTCCCAAGTAGCTGGGACTGCAGGCACATACCACATGCCCAGAAAATTTTTTCCTCATGAGGGCTGATGAGTAGAGCCTGGGTCTCTCACTATATTGCCTGGGCTGGTCTTGAACTCCTGGGCTCAAACAATCCTCCTGCCTTGGCCTCCTAAAATGCTGGGATTATAGGCATGAACCACTGTGCCCAGCCAGTAACTACTATTTTGATCAGATCATTTCTAGAGAAACCAATATGTATCCCCTCCTGATTTTCTGTTGTCAAAGCCCCAGGATCACGCACTCATCCCTTTCCAATGTGGCACAAAGCAGGGGGCTTACCCCACTTCCAGGGCTGAATCCTGGCTGAACTAAGCCCATTTGTATGGCCCCATTATCTTTCCAATAATAGGTTTAGGGGTGGGCTTGTGACTCACTTCTAGCCCGTGGGACATGCAAGAGCGGTGGATTGCTGGGAGTTTAGAGGGAGAGTTTTGTTTGTTTCTGAAAATACAAACACTAGAAACCATGCTCCCTTTTTGGCACCCAATGTTATTTTGTTTCTAGATGTGTTACTTAGGAATGTGGCCGCTGTCTTGCCTTCACAGGGAGGACAGCATCAAAATAGAACTGATGCTGAGGACAGCAGAGGAGAGGACGAGACAAACCTCAGTGGATGGCATCATGGGGCCTCTGATTGTTCCTGTATCCATTCCATGTGGTTTAAGCCAGTTGAGGCAGCATTTTCGGTCTTGAAGCCCAACTCCTTCTAAATGATAGGTGTACCTTTTAATGGAACTATTCGCAGCCTCAAATTCTTCCCAGTTACACCCTGTGAGTGTCCAGGAAGCAGCAGAAAATTCAATACTACATTTCTTCATTCACAGGCCTCCCTCTTCCTGTGCCCCTGGCATACAGTGACAGTGCTGCCCTGCAGGATGGCATATCAGAGAGCTCAGGATGGATGCAGTCAGGGACGACAGCCCATGTCCAAGAAGGCTGCCTGCTGAACGTTTGCCCAGCAGAAGATTTTAGAAAGAAAGGAAACATCTTAGTGATTTTCTTGCCTCCAGAAGAGTCCCTGATCCAATCTTTCCTTGGTACAAACTTTTAGTTATTGTGTTTACATATACATTTTATATATGCATGGTCATTATTTTATCTGTTTTATTTGGGGACTTTATCTTGATGTGAGTCCTCATACCTAACACATTGCAATATAAATTATGTAATTATGTGCCTTTTTTTTTGAGATGGAGTCTCGTTCTGTGACCCATGCAGGAGTGCAGTGGTGTGATCTCGGCTCACTGCAACCTCCACCTCCTGGGTTCAAGTGATTCTCCTGCTTCAGCCTCCCAAGTAGCTGGGACTATGGGCACCTGCCACCATGCCTGGCTAATTTTTGTTTTTTGTTTTGTTTTGTTTTGTTTTGTTTTAGTAGAGACAGGGCTTCACCATGTTGGCCAGGCTGCTCTCAAACTCCTGACATCAGGTGATCCACCCACCTCAGCCTCACAAAGTCCTGGATTACAGGCATGAGCCACTGCACCTGGCCTGTGCTTTCAGTAAGTACTTTCTCACTGACTAATACCCCTAGCTTTTGTATTATAAGAAAAAAGAGGCATGAAAGAGAATGAATCCCTGACCCCAGTATCAGTCAGGATTTAATCAGAAAACAGAAATGGTGCTAGGTTTTTGATGAGTTGGAGAGAGTTGAAAGAGGAATTGAGGCTTGCACAACCATTAGAAGGGCTGGGTAAGAAAAGATCAGAAGGTTGCTTTAAGGGCAACCGAAGTGCAGAGCTCTCAAGAGAAACTGGGGCTTCTGTTGTGATCAAGTTGCCCATAGCAGGTGCTTCTCAGGAGGACTCTGAGAAGCTGAGGCTCTGAGTAACCGCCTGTAGCTGGCACTATAGAAAAATAGCTTCTCCTTTTCTGCCTCAGACGTTTCACAGGGGTGCCTCTCTCTGGACAAATGTAACCTGGAGGCATATAGGAAAAGAACTGGTAATGAGGTTTCTGGTTTTCCTCCAAGACAGAGAAGAATGGAGGGCTGGGGGGCATAAGTCACAATGAAGTTGAGCTATCAACAGACCACCCAGAAACCCAACCTCCCATATATTAATGAAAAATTAAAAAAACAAAGAGCAATTGATAAACAAGTGTATTTAAGTTATACCAATGGCAAGATTGCTCTGTCAAAAAGCATTTGATAATCAGTTAATTGGTGAGTGTCTGCTATGCAGAATTAGAGGCAGTTTTTGTTTTGTTTTCTTTTGTTTTAGATTATTTCTTGCTCAAAACTCACTCAGGTTCCTGGGCTGTAATACGTGAGCCAGGTAGAGCAGCTTTGATCTCACTGGCAGTTTGTTTAGAAGCCTGAGATCTGGAGTAGCTTTCTAAAATCTTCAGTTCTAAAAACCAATACAGTTTAATAAAAATCTCTACATTTGTTTGCAATAGTCTCAAGTACATAGTAAAATGACAGAAATGATTTCAGCCAAGAAATTAGCCATTTTCTTCCTCTTGATTTAAGACAGAGAATTAGCTTTGGAGGGAAGTGGCAATATTTCTAAATTTACACACAAATTCACACCGACAGTATGCTCCTAATAGTCGCCAGATTTAGAGCTAACCTGGTTTTCTGAGATTGATCTGGGATGGAGGGAGAAACAACAGCTAACTGACCAGAAGCTAAATGCCACAAGGCAAAACCTTTTTGTTAGAAGCTGAAGATTATCACATTTCCAGGGGAGGCTGGATGCTTTGGTTAAGAGAGACCCAGTTATGAACCCAGGCTTCTAAAGACCTCCAGCGAGAACCCTGCCTGTCTCCTCAGGGCAGAGGTTCTGGGAGTTTCTAGGTTCTTGCAATTCCTGCAGCAAACACATCAACACACACAAAAAAGCACTGGGAATTCAGAGTCCCAGAGAAGCACATTTGGGTACATCCCTCAAGGTTAAGATTTGCTGGAAACTTTGATAAGATATTTGGATGTGGAGAAGACCGGGGAAGTGTTAAGTAAAGGAATATGAAGTTGAGAGCCAATTATTCATTCTTTTCCCTATCCCTCTCACCCATTAGCATCAATAATTGGAAAAGGACCATCCATGTGTGTATGGGGAAGGCAGTAGGCTTAGAGGCTGCTAATGGCAATTTTGTAAATGAGGGCAAAAATGGGGCTCTGCAGGCAAAAAGCTTGACTGGGTAGAGCCACTTCAAAGCTGAGGCTTCAACCATCACAGCCTGCCATCTGCAGCATGTGACTCACTGCATCTTCAAGCAAGACTCTGCTCAAATAAGTACCTTCCACTTTGGTTCTATGTTGCTCCCACCAGTGTAACTACTCTGCTGCCTTTCTTAGGGGTGGGGACAAGCTACCTCCTTGAGTTTGAGGCTTGAGCCTACCTTTGTACCTGTGGTCCTTAAGAGGTGCTGTCCTTCTCATTTAGCTCATACAAAGTGACTCAGGCATCCTACAGCATCCCTGTACAGGTATCCGGCCCAGTCCACATAGCTAATTGCACCCATTGTCCTCAAAGTCCATCTGTTTACTTTAGCATGTTGGTGCTCATGCTCAATGTGCAAGGTAATACAGATTGATATGTATTCTTTGG